GGATAAGGTTTCGGAAGCTATAATCCGAAACCCGAAACTTTCGGATTTTGGTGGAAAGGGTTTCGGGGCCAACTCTATACCATAATAGCTCTCATGAACTCGCTAATATTAGTAAGGAGAGCGTACGTCGCGTTGCATCATCTTTACAGTTACGCCGCTAATTCACCTTCACAACTACGCAGCACTCTACCAACTCATCATCTTTACAGCTACGCAACGTCGTTCCACACTCCACCAACTCGTCACCTTTACAGCTGCGCAGCGTCGCGTCGACCACTTCGTGTATTATTAGCTGTTTATTCTTATCTAACTTTTATTGGAATTTTCGCTTTGCTTAAATATTACAAGATTATCTCCGGATATATTATTATCCGGTCACACTACATAATACGTAGACAAACGTAACTCTGATTTATAAGATGAATGTATATAGACTGTAACTCTGATTTATTACGTATATACAAGATGACGCTATTCGTCATAGTCTACGTTATTTATAATATAATATTATAATAAATCATAGTTAAGTATTGGAATTGATAGTCATGATTTGTATCGTGGTTACAAGACTTACTTGCTATTGTGATGGCGCACAGTATGTGATTAAGGATGAGTTAGTTTGTATTAGAATTGACATTCATGATAACTTTTTGTTACAAAACATACTAATATGAACAATAAAAAAAAATAAAGAAATTCAAAGTCTAAGTATTGGGGTTTGTTATACCTTTACGGTAGTTAAAGTTTGAAATATAAGAACTAAATATTAATGCTTAAAATTCATAATCACGATAAACAAATTTGTCCTATTAGCGATTTTTACACCATAACTTGTCAATCCAACGATTCGAGAACAAGAAATTCAAGGAACTGCAGTTGCCACAGAACAAACTGCAATATTAAGATCTATTCACCTGCACCAGACATTGTGGATGTGTATTACGAGATGAATGCAATAACTACTAATGTGAACTATCTATTATCAACTGACATTGTTCTTTTTAATTTTATGAAATCAAAGTTACGATGCTCGAATAAATATTAAAATGCACATGCTGTTAGGGATGGCAAATGTTTTAAAACACGATCTTAAAATCATGTTTGTTTGATTTAAATCTGTTAAAAAATGTTTTAATACATTATAACATAATTATGATTCGACTGTGTAATTTAAATATATTATGATTACAAAATTCTAAAAAAAAAAAAATCCAATAAGAAAATTCTTCAAAACAATGTCTCATATTCGTGGAAGATCCTCGTCAAAAGAAACCTTACAAAAGTTGCTGAACCTGATAAACATGATCGAGCAACACCTCACCAAAAAGGTACTTATTGTGAAGAAGATAGTGTTGATTTAGTTGACCAATCAAAAGGTCATTCATTAAAATATATAAGACTTATTAAAACGCAAAGAACAGGATTCTGGTTTTCAATACCAACAAATGTAAAACTAATATAGAATGAAAGGTCGTATTGGCCGACAAGCAAAGTTTCGCATTTAAGAAATAACAGTTTTGCGAACAAATATATTAATTTTCTTTTATTTTTTTACGTAATATTTGATAAATTCGAAATTATATAGCAACGTCTTTTTATAAAAAAAATTTCTCGACTGAAAATTAAAATTAATTAATTAAAAACAATATTTTCAGTTTCAGCAAAATTTTATCTCAGACTTCGAAGTTTTAAAAATAATAAAAACGGTTAAAAAAAAAATGTTTAAACCGTTTTTTTACCATCCCTACATACTACTTAATTTTATACAAGAGTCACTGTTATTTATTTACAAAAAGTTGTAGTATTTATATATATTAATTTTAAATATTTATTTTGATTCTTACTAAAATTATAAACACATTTTAATTAAAAAACTTGAGTTTATTCTAGATGGTATAAACTAAGGAAAGAGCTTCTTTTCAAAGCATAAGTTTAATAAAAAGAATTGTTCTAATGAGTTATAATGGCATTTGACAAATTACAGTATGATTATTATTATGGCAAAGTCATATTTCTAATGTAACAGATAAGATATAGTGTTATGACTATGATAAACTGTTTTAAACTAAAAATGAATTTGTCCAACTATTTTAATCGAATTAAACCTTATTAAATAATTTTCTATTGACAATTTTTAAGATAATTTATAGTCTTTACTTTGCTAAGAAATATCGAATTATAAAAAAAATCAAGTTACAGTTACAATTATATCATTTTACCGTAACTAAATAGTAAATACACAAAATATAATTTGTCATATTTGTCAAATTTTAAAATGGCAAGTTATAATTAGTTGTAATTAAGAGTGCTTGATTATTTTGATTATTTACCCTAAATATAAAGAAAATTGAGTTTGATCGTATGTGTCTAAACATAATATGGATATCTTTCAAAAGACAGAACCGATGCAATTATTGAATTTAACTATAATATAATAACCTATTCGTCATAGCGAATTTATGAAATTTAGCTAAAATTCGGGCACTAAATCCAAGCATTTGATCCCAAATGAAAATTTTATTTACCAAATTAACATATGGTGGGTGCCAGTAGAAACCAAGCAAATTGTTTCTAAGTAAATTTTTTAAAACTGAAATAAAATATCTCAACAACTATTAAACCAAACTTAATAAAAAATTTTTTTATGTTAATTCTATATAGTTATAGAATTAAAATAAAATAAAAATTTATCAAGTTTGGTTTAATATTTGTTGAGATATTTTTATTTAAAATTTTAAAAAAACTCACTAAAAACAATTTACTTGGTTTCTACTGGCACTTCCCCATATTAAACCTCTGATATAGATTGATAACGCGCCTAACCCTTCTTCCCATTTCCGACGCACCTAATTAGACATAGAAATTTATCAAAATAACGCATCATAATTCAAGAAATGTTGATTATCTCGGTTAAAACCTGTATTTACATGTTAGTAGTTTTCATAAATTCGCCACAATATTTACTTAAGTGAACTGCACTTACAGAAAAAAAAATATGCATATACAACATCGATAATAGTATACAAAAAATATGAAACTTTTTTTTTATTTTCTATTAAAAGTCGTTAATTTTGATATATTAATGGGAAATGCCTAAAACAAGATCGGCAAGCATGCTTAATAATGCATACGAACAGACGAATAATTTTATAATTTTTATACATACTATAGACCTTCGGAAATATTATTATACATATGTAAAGCACATAAATCTGTATAAATCATTATATACAGTATATACATAGTTATATACTGCTATTAAATGGTACTATAATCACTTGTAAATATATACTGCATTGATTTTTATACATATTTTCAAGCGAATATTATCTATTTCCAGTTGTAAATTAGCAATTTCTCACCATTTTCCCGCCAATTTTTAATTTCCCATCAATCGCAGCAATTTAATTTCTTTCTGTATTAGCCTAAATATTTACTAAGCAATCCCGTAATAAAGTCATCATCCCGATCATTATAGTTATTGTATGAAACTGTATGTGTAACTAACTTATACATATATATCTTAAGACTTAGGGACGTCAACAATTCAAGCCTTAAGACCATGGGTCTCATTAGACTAAATGAATAACAACAACCAATTCCTAGTAGTAAGTAATTTTAATATATTAATATATTTATATATCGTATCTAGACTTGACTCATTTAGAATGAGTTGATTGTATACAAAAAAAATAAAACGAGAGGTAGTTTATCAAATTTATAAATTTGTTATATCGATATGCATACGTACGTACAGTACTTGCATAGAGCTTAAGACTTGTTAAATCTGTACTCCCTGTATTACTTAATTTCCTTTTCAGTTATGTACGACGTTCGGCATGTACTTTAGCCGAACTTAAGATTTACCACTGTACTATTGTAAAATATTTCCCTTTCAGTAAATACCCTTGCCATAGATGGCAGAACTTAAGATTTAAAAAGTATTCGGGTTAACATTAAAGGATCTTCAAAGTGTCCGAATTATTAGCACTAAAATCTGTACAAACACTATCCGAATTCGATTTCGCATTTTGCCGATTAAAGTTTTACCTAAGCATAAGTGCGATGATGGAAATAACTGAAAAAGGATTACTATATGATATAAACTGTTAATATTAGTAATCGTTAATTTTTAAATATTTTCATACAATGATTCGCGGAGTTCGTCTAACTTTCCGCGATATTATCCGTTGAATCTTGTTTATGTATGCATTATACTGTATTTGTCTTTAGTAGGCTGACACTTAAATGAAAGAGCCAAACATTTACTAAGTTGATAAAATGCATGCGATAGCCACATATCTGCTAAACGGGTAAGAAATAATGCAGACGAATTCCTTTATTAATTTAAATGCATAACTGTTTACTCTGTACTATTTATAAATTTCCTGTTTAGTGTTCGAAATTACCATATACGAATGTGTAATCATTATAACTTAAGATGTTTTTTAAGTATCTAACAAAGTCTCCGAGTTATTTTGCCGCTAAAAATCTGGGATTTTCATTACCTTTGTAAAGTTTATGTACATTAGCCGTAAAGCTTAAGATATGAAAAGATTTCATACAATCTTAAGTGCTATCAAAATTTAAATATATAAGTATCATTTTTTTGCTCTTTTTTTTTTTTTCTATTAATAATTTCACAAAAATTTATCTCATTAAATCGTTTTTTTTTTTTGTTCACGCTTTTTAATTAAAGTAACGAAAACTATTTTAATTTTCACCTATTTATTCACGTCTACAATATTTAAGCTATCAATATTTTGCTTAATATACAGCCATGTCCTTTCTATGCCAACGACAAAATCGACGTGGTCCTTACGCGACTAAGGCATGTGTTAATTGCCGACAGAGACATATAAGGTGTTCTGGGAATGTGCCTTGTAATCACTGTACACAACGCAGTGTTGAATGCGTTTTTATTAATTCTGGTAAAAAACGTGGACCAAAGACATCACAATCTTCCGTAATCCCTGAAGTGCAGGGTTACGCATCAAGCTCTCCACAACAACTCGATAACTATGGGGATATTTCTTTCTATTTTATTCCTTATGATGCACTTCAAATCGACATTTCTGAAGAGCTCGTTCCCCTGCTTAATCAAGCTAACTATTATGTTATGCAAGATTTAACTTCTAATCTACATCGAAATAATATATCACTTAATAATAATAACATCTATTTAAATAATCATACCACTATTTCTTCTAATTTAGATTATTTACATTCTGAGTGACTTTAAAATTATTTGCATAGAAATGATATTTAGAAAAGAATTCATATACGAGTATATGTTACTTAGGTTTAGTAATTTTTTAAAAATATTTATAGAAGGATGAACAATAAGAAATGAAAATCGTGAATACGTATAAAGAAACTTTATTTTTTTTTTATTGATTAACAAACAAAAAAATTGATACATGTATAATAAAATCTTTTTTAAAAAAAATGCAAAATTAACATTTAACAGTTGTGTTTATAAAAAATTCAATATATTTGGCTCTTCTAGGCTTCATAAAGCTTTAACGGTATTAACCCATTTCGCCGATAGTTTAGCCCGATTAGAAGCTAGAATTCCTGATTTAGAATTGGCGTTGGATGATCTTAATTATCTACGAAATAACTGTCGGTGAAATCTATTAGACCCGCTAAAAAACAATAAATATAAGTTGTTACGATGTAAACCAATTTCCTATTCGAGCCACTATTTGACAGAGCGCTCTTTTATTGTGACCAGGGACCCGGAAAATTTTGGAAATAAAATTTCCCAAATTATTCCAAATTTTTGGCCTAATTTTGATATTTCCAAATTTTTGCGTTTTGCCAAAACTTTTGGCTGATTTTCATAAAACATGTGATCTGACCAATAAGAATCTGTCATAAAATTTAGTATAAATTATCAAATTTTATGCGGTTTGTTCTTTGAACGCAATAAAGAGTTTATCACTCTCAATAAAGAGTTTATCAATACTCGCAATAACGAGTTTATCAAATGTCTTTCGACTAAAGGGTGCACAAAGGGGGAAAGGGGGCATCAGTATAAGACTGTTTTTTGAACATGCAAAAAAAAAAAAAAAGAACCAGATTCACTGCAAAG